GTGTTCAGTTATATTCCACAGCCCATGTGCTTGTGCCTTCCATCTCATTTATGTATGAGTATTTCTGTTTTCCTGGGGGACTGAGTAGAAACTAGACATAAACAGGAAAGGAGAATAGAATTATGGTCATACGGCACATGTGTGGCATTGGGGCAGGGTTGAGGAGTTAAAGAGGACTCTATAGCATCAGCAGGTCTACAACAAGGTTTCCTTGGCTTTGTGTGCTTCAGTTTAGTACTTACATTAGGAGACATCTCAGACATTGTTAAGGATGTCTTTAACTTGCCAGGATTGTTGTTATTCTCTTGGTATACTGAGATAGTGATATGTTGATGCTGGTGAGGTCTTTTTGGTTTTCAGAAAAGCTAATGAATACCTTTTGACACACATAATCTGTATTGCAAATATATTGCTGTGTAGAAATGCTCTTTCTTAAAAAGTTTGGAGTGATAAAATGACTGGATTAGAAAAGCAAAATCAACTTGCTTTAGTTCTGTTAAGCTAGAATGTTTGGACTAGTAATTAACCAAGGTAGTACGGTAAGAATGCATTTTGGTATGAGATTGAAAAAAGTCTTGTCTACCCTAATGTGTTAACTGATGTTGTGTCATGAAAGAATGTGTAAAACAGATGAAATCAAAGGTACACTTGAAAGAGAGGCTGCCTTTCCTGTAGTCTTTCCTGAGTATTTTGACCACAGAGTCCCCCCACTTCTGCTGGGGCATATTAGAGTAACAACTGATTTTGTTTTCAGTAGTAAAGAATCTGCCTCTCAACTTTGCTCCAATCAACCTGTGACTTTCTGTCATCATTTTGCTATGACTCATTAGCAATAAACCCAGCAAAAGGAAGGACTGAATTTCAATCTAGCTATGTCAATCCAGCCCAATAATCAGCATGCCACAGGGGATATAAGATGATGCCTTTTTGCACTGCGAGAAGAGTAACAAAGAACGTGAGAGGGTGAAGTAAAAAGTCACTAATTCTAACAAACACATTGTGTTTAAAAAGTTTGATCTCTTTAATTCACCAGAAAAGAGTGAGAAGTGTCTGGATGGAGAATTCCTTTCACCAGGAGAAGCTACCAGTCCCCAGAACACTAATTCCCCAGAATCTTCAGCACAGGATATAAAAAGAAGTTGCTGGAACATGAATATTGGCAAAGTTTAGATTAATTTTCAATAATGAGGCTGAGTAACACGCTACCACGGGAAGAGTGGGTACTTCATTGACTGGCGTTATAAGTGAGCATGAGGCTACTGGCCTTCCTGGAAATGGTTGCATCAGCCTAGTGCGCAATTCTGGGACAGAACAGAGGCACAATAAGATGAAACTAAAAAGCTGTAGCATTTGTAAGATCAGCTGAGAGACTAGGATGACCCTCGTGACTGTAAAATTTAAAAATATGATCTCATCATTTGTCCCATTCAAGCAGGAAATCTCAAATCTGGAGGTTAAATTGTTTGCCCCATGCCAAACAGCAATTCCCTAATAGGCGTAGAAATGAATCACTACCTGCACGGTGCATTCGATACAGCTCAGAGAAAAAGGCAATTTATTAATGAAAAAAGGATCGTCAGTCCCAGAACTTGGTTAAACTTATCAAGACATTTGTTATTCTTTTATTTCTTCATGTATGAAATGTCTGTTACTACTCATGAAAATTATGAGCCTCTGACAAGAAATTGTGGAAACTGGCACTGTTTTCCTGGTTCCTGTTTTTAGCAATATTTTAGTGCAAGAACTGTTACCCATATTGATGTTTTGTTTATTTCTGTAGTCTGTGTTTGCCTAAACCACTTCTCAGTCTTTTCACAGTTTGCCTGCCATAAACGAAGTACACAGCCACACACTGATGTTACTGAACGTCTTCCTCAGGGGAAGCCAGGCTGATCCTTCTGGTCACCTGCCTTTGCATGCAGCACATTGTAGCACAAAAATATGGCTCTATACAAAGCATCATGATGAATAAATATATTAACTATCCCAGTAACTGTTAGCCAATTATACATCCCCTTTGTGCCTGACCCACAGTGTGATTTTGCTGATAGACAGGAGACCTTTAGCTCTAATTCCTAGGGCCTCAGCGGCAGAAGTCCCAGGTCTGGTTGCAGCACGGTACCATTGCTTTGGTTAGCATTTCAAGAAGAGTAGGAATGGAAAAAAGCTGTTCTCTGGAGTCTCCTGGTGCTGCGAGAGCTATTAGTGTAGCTCTCCTACCATGTATTTTCTGTGGTTTTGCTCCTGTCATACAGACTCACTATTGTTTTTACCTTGTCACCCATCTTTGTGTTCTACATGCAAAGTGATTTTGTTGGGTTAGCCAGTGCCTCACTGCTTTCAAACTACTTAATAGGAAAGATCAGTCCGTTAGCACATTTAGTTGCCATCTTAAGCCTGTGATATTGTTATTAAGAGAGTTTCTGAGATGCAGCCTCTTCTCATTATCTTCCTGGCAGGCTTTCCCTACTGAAGGCTGATCTCACTTTTCTGCTCCTGCTACGGGACTCTTTTAAGTAAGAAAATGCTTGAGGGTTACTCTTTTGAGTATCAGGGAGTCTTCTCAGGCACATGCATGAAGGGCAGCCCAGATCACTGGTGGTGAAGGTTCTGCCTCTGGCTGATAGTCCCTGCAGTGCTGCAGCTATGCCCAGAGTCCCATCAAAACCAGTCCCTTATTGCCAGTGTCTATGGGAACCCAGATCTACTGCACTATACACTGCCAACACACACATAAAATCAAAAACCCCTCTTCAAAGACTATAGATTAAGAATTTTGGACTCCAAAAAAGCAGGATAATAGCTTAAGAAAAAAAAAAAAAAGGCTTTGGGGCTTTGAGGGTAATATTGATTACCTTTCACATGTTTAAACCTTTGTTTCCAGGTTTTAGCTTTTCCTCTAGACCTGTAACGTTTGTTGTAAGGGAAAGGCAGCTTAATTTCACTTATGTCCCTATATGTGGGTCTTGGAGAGAGCCGGTGGCCCTGTAGGGTGACTGTGTGGAGACTGAGACCCAAGTGAAGGGTGGGGGAGCTACCTGGGGTCAGCCAAGAAGAAACACGAGAGGTAAGGACCCAAGAGGAATTCAGGCTATTTGCATTTGCTCCTATTGAGCCTTCTGACCCTATGAGAGGCCAAAATGTTTTAAATCAAACACCATGATTCATGGTAAACACCCATGGCCAAGCAATGACTGGCGAAGAGAACAGATCTTCCTGTGTTTCATTAGCTTCCTAATCTCAAAAATAAGTGCAGGAATAGCAGGCTCTAGTCAGGTTAAGTACATCAAAAGCTGAGGGAGCACGAGTACAGGGGTAATGGGGTCACAGAAGTAGCTGTCATGGCACTGTGGGGTTCTGGGAGGGCGCAGTGCCGATACCACCTTATCACACAATGACTTGGGTGCCTCTTGGGTTTCCGAGCAGTGCTCTTGGCAGTGTTTGCTGTGGGCCTGGGGCACCATCTAGCCCATTTATCTTGAACAAGTTGTGACAGAGGTTCACTTCATCAGGTTGAAAGCATTTTTTTCAAAATTGGACATGTTTCAAACTAGATTAGGAAACATTTCTTCCATGTTGTGGAAAAGAATGCATGCTTGATTTTTCCTTTTATTTAGGTGTCTGTGAATTTGGGCCTCTGTATTAGTTTGGGAGTGTTTTGGTTTACATGTTTTCAGCGGAGCAATTGGTTTTGGAATGATACTTGCCTGGCAGGGCATGTCTGCAGGGCATGCCAGCCATGTGAGAGTGGATAAAAGAAACCCTTCTCCCTTCATGAGTGCAAGTGCGCCACTGGGGTTCTGCCCCCTCCACCTGCGAATCCACAACATTTGCAGCTCCTTTTGGCAGCAGAATAACCAATCCAAACGAAACCAGGTCATCATCAGGTCAGTTATTCTCCTAATGGTAACTGTGGTTTATTGCCAGGTTTCCCTGTGAAAGTGTGGCATTTTGCACGCTTTGCAATGTGCACTGCCTTTTTCAAAAGCACAGATTTGCTTTTTAACGTTTTATTATGCAATCCCTGATAAGAACAGTAACCTTTCTCCACTAACATGGCTGAGAACAGCATATATGTATATGGATATCTTTGTTCAAGATAACAACGTGATGTTTCACTTTCCACTGCCTACAAATTAAATAACTTCTCTGTACATGATGGAGGAGGGAGCAAGGGGAGCCTGGGGAGGATATGTCCTGAGGCCTTTCTCTGCTTTCCTATGCAGAGTTTCGTATTTTAAGTGAATTTCTGAGTTATTTTTCCTGTGCATTTCTGGCTGCTGGGAGACATTTAGCTGGTAGTCATGGGGTTATGTTTACTCTATCTGAGCATATGTCTAACAGGTCTGTGCTGCAGACAGTTCAATGAAACTTGATCAAACCAAGACAAACCCAAGTTATTTGTTAATCATCTCCCCTTGCAGCACACCATGCTTGTCTCCTGGCTTGACATGTATCTCCTGTTCCTTGGTCACACCCAGATAGGAACAAACTGCTTTCAGATAGCCAGAGGCACGGGAGGGCCTCCCTCTCAACTCAGATCATCCCCAAGTGAGAGGCAATCACCGGAGGCTGTGCTGTCCCCATGCCTCATCCTCGTCCCTTGCCCCTCTGGTCCCATCCCCACTCCCCACTGATAGGCATAAAACACCTTCTAACAGTAAATATTGCTGCAAGTTTCCATACATCCTCAATTCAGGCTAAGCCCCCACACCACCCCCATGGAGATGACAGGGCCATACTCCTTCATTAATGCCTGGAGGCAGGTTCAAAAAAAAAAGGTAAAAAGTAAGAAGTTTGGGAAGGAAGAAGAACAGAATGAAAGATAAATTCTCTTGGGTTTGCTTAGTTCTTACTCTCACAGTTAAACATTCTGCAGAAATCCTTGTAAAATTATTCCATTTACTCTTGACTTTCAATTCATGCAAAAATCACCCTCTCTTTTAGGAAGCAGCTTACTTTCATGTCCAGTCTGAGGTTAACTAGAATGTGAAACTGAGTTAACAGCATTTGCCATTAGCGATTTTATTAGAGATCTTGATTTGACAGTCAATGTTTTATAGTACATCAGAAAAAGTACAAAAGTGAGCTTGAAGACAGACTCTTGACTTATAGTCAATAATAGCCTATTTACAAGTATTAATGTATGTCTGAGTCAATGCATCTAAGCAGTTACATTGCAGAGTGCAAATAAAAATCATTTCAATTCATGTAAACATTATGGGCAAGGGCTTGGGTATGGTCAAGCTATGCCCAGTGCGGGCTCCTGTATTATAGAGCAAAGGTTTACCTAGAGGTGCTCCAAGTTATACTAGCTTGTGTGGTCACTAAAATACACGGCATCACAACCTTCTGCTTGTGAGTCACACACTGCAAGGCCTCACCTTTCACCTCAGCACCTGAGGTCAGGAGAGACTCCTTACTGCGGCAGCCTCTGGATGTTTGTGTCTATCCCAGTGGATGGCCAAGCTCTGGCCTGAGGGGCCCTTTATGAAAGCTGGGAGGCTCACACTTACTGCTATATTAAGAAAAGAATGCAACCTGAACCACAACTATGCTTCCAGTAGGGTTTCAATGGGAATGCCTGAGTCAGTCTTGCTACTTTCTCTACCCAGCTACCCACCAGATGTGTTCTTACAGATGCTGGCAATGCTCTGAGCAGCTTCTGGTCTCTTCTTGGCTCAGCTCTGCTGTTTCCCCACCAGCCACTTAGTGTGGTGCCCATTAGAAGGTAAGAATTGCTTTATCTCTTCCGTCATCTGCTTTGCATGATCAGAGGTGCCACAGTCCCTGGGAGGAAGGATCAGAGCCCTGCCTGGCTCTGCCTGGCTCCAGGGCATTGCCCAATAAATGAAACCTCCAACCTCCAGATGCAGCTACAGGAGAAATCCCAGGCCTCCCTTATTGATTCCCCTGACCTGTACAAATCATTGGTGTCTATAACGTGTGCCACTGGGCAATATTCCCTGCTGGGGGATATTCCATGTGCTCCTGCCATTTCCCTTCCAGCCTTTCTGAGGCAGCACACTGATCACAGCAAGTTGTGTCTCCACTGGAAACGCCCCAGGGAGCCCTGCCCTGGTGCTCTGTGCACAATGGGAGCTGCACAAGAGGGAAGAAAACAAAACGAAGCTTCAGCCCTCAACCATCGAACAAGTCCCTGGCCCTCCTGAAACAGTACATTTGTTTGCTCATGTGTGTACAGGAATCACACGTAAGGTACCACCTCCTGCTACTTGGCTGTTAGTATCACAGCAAGGACTGCTGGTTATTGGCTCTGTACACCATAGCACTATTTGTCCCTCTAAGCTATGTAGCCACGTCTTTTCCAGTTTTACACACAGATGATAATAATAAAAAAATCAAAAAGTGTGGAGCACCCTGTTTCACGAAGTTTCCATGCTGCTGGGGCAAAGCCTGCAGTCCTCGTGGTCAGGATTACGTACACACTGAAGGAGCTGGACTGGCCTGGGATAAAACATAAAAATAAATATGTAGTCACCACATGCAAGTAGAACAGAGAAATTCCACAAGTACTATATGCAACATGAAAGTCAAAGTGCATGTTACCTCTGTGTGTTATCAAGTAGATTCCTTAAGGTAACTTGTTTTAGACACTGCTGCAGAAAAGTAACTTTGTTTATAGGCATGGGGACAAGAGAAAGTGCCTATGAGGTGTAGTGAACTCACTGCATGCTAGCAATGCTCTCATAGAAAAAATATATGAAAAAGAAGATATCTTTCACCGGCTACAGAGTTGCTGCCATGCTGGAAGTTCATCATCCTGCTTACCCTGCGGTAGCCCCTGCTGATACCATGTACAGCTGTTGCTAAAAATATTATTTAGGATTAGATGTTTTGTTACAAGTACATTCAGTGACCCAGGTTTTTGGGTTACTTGTGGAAAATACCGCTGACACTGACAAAAACAAGAGGTAATTATCAGCATCAATTTCTATGTGGCACGAAATACCAGATGCTGAGCTGATACAAATGCACACAGTTCTGCCTGCAGAGATTTCAGAGGAATTATGCTAACTTGTCCTGTCCATCCTGAAGAGTTTTACTGCACATGTAAATTGCTTATTTTATTATTGCTCTCTATGCGAAATAATAATTTAAAAATTGTCCATGTTGCTCTACATAGTTGTTTATGCATCTGTTAGTTAAGTGCTGCCTAAAAGCTCTACTTCTTATTCTATCTTCAGAAGCAAGTTGTGAGTCTCAGCAACATACTCTTCGTAAAGTGCTGAAGGTTTCTTTGTGTGCTGCGCCATGGGGGATCTAAATTACCACATATTTCTTCTTTCTCCCTGGTCCCTTAGCTTCTTTGAACTTAGGCTGAGATAGTTTGCATTTGCTTGCAAGTCCTGGAAGTATTGGTTAAAGACTGCAGTTACCCAAAGAGAAAGCAAGTCCATGAGCATCATGATTTGGCAGAAGTACGCACTACACCAGTGTTAGTTTTTTCACGATGTGCAAGAACCCATTAACCAGGTTTGGCAGTACCTAAGCAGGGATCTATCACTGCCTTCAAGAGAAAAATCCTAGCACCACGTAAGGTATTTACAGGGCAAATGTTTCTTCCACAGACAAACTTTCCTTTATTTAAAACCAATGTCATGAACTCACTTATTTATAGAAATGTTTGTTTACTTTGGAAGGGTTCTTATCGAAGTATGACTTTTTCATTCTGAAAAGCTGTTCTTAGCAGATAAGATAAGATTATAGAGCTTTATGAGTAAAACTGAACCCTGGCTGCTTTTTTAATGTCACTAAAGAACATTCTTCCTCTGTGTGAAGGTCTCTGAACTGACACAAAAGGATAAAGGTCCTCAGGCTTTTGTAATTCCTCAGCAGGCAGAGATTTCAGTCAAGTCAGAACTTGGGCTGTTCTGCTTCCTGGAATCTCTTGACAGTGGGAAATCATACTAATTAATAATACTTATCATGTCCTGTGTCTCTCTCCCTGACAAAGTATCTGGATGGAAAGGAAGCTCCAACTATAGCGAAGGAAGTAAGGAAGGACCATCCTTGACACAGTGTGTTATCTGCATGCAGCCAGGAGGAAAGCTGCCTGCTTGGTTTTGATTATCCTACGTAAAAGCCTGGTCAGATGACGATCTGTTGAAGGAGGCTGGATTGCTTCTTCCTGAAGGCAGCTGAGCGTGCCCAACAGCAGTGACCTTCTGGAGTGCAGGGCAGAGAGCAAGCTCCAGCTGCAGCCAACAGGAGCTTTGCAGCACAAGTCGAAGGCCCTGAGAAGCACACAGCACACTGAAGAGGTGTGCTGGAAGCAAGAGGGGAGTCTGTTCTAGGTTGCTGTAAACCAGGAAACTGGTATCAAGCAGAGACAGAGACACAGTATTAGTTTTATGTTAGTAAGCAGACACCAATGAGAATTACCTGTAATTGTCTTCACAGGTGATTGTGAAGTTTCTCTCTTCTAAGATGCGTTTTAACCTCTGTATGGAATGACCTGAGCATGACTCACTGGAGAGAAAAGTCTTTGTTACTTGTGTTCCTCAAGTGTGCAAGAAGCCCAGCTGAATTCAGTGCTACATCACTTTATTTCAGATAAGATTCTTAAAAAGCAGATATTAATCTGATTTGCTAATGTGCTGTGAAGCCCATATTGGTGTGTGGTGCTTTGACTGCCATTGGGCATTTGCCTGTAGGAACTATTTGACGTTCAGTTGCTTAACTTATACAAAAAGTTTTTTTCAGGAAGCTATCTATCTATGGGAAGTAATTCAGAACCATTCACAAGTTCAGTGTACTCTGGAACTGCTCCAGAGGTGCTGGTGACCTCCATCCACAGGAACGTGAAATAAGGCTCATTCAAATCTGTGGAAGGAGAAAGGGATCGAGTCCTCTGTGCAATAGAGACAAAGCCAATCACAAAATCCAGAAGCTATTTCCCGAGTAGGACATAAGATCAGTGGAAACAGACAAAAAACGTGGGAGGAAGCAGGATATGGTCACCTGTTTGTTTGGCTCAGTGTGCTGGATACTGCTACTCCGTTTAGATAAGAGTCTGTTTCAACTCCTTTTCCATTTGTAGGAACCCCAATTTGGTTATTTCTGTTCTGCCCAGCTAATGGTGTTTCGTGAAGCTTCTAGCAATGTCATACCTTGGAGATCTTTATCTTAATTTGCTTGCAATAGCCCTAGGGGCCCTCAAGTTGCAGGGAGAGGATTGCCAAATGTCAGAGATAGACAGAGCTACTGCAAAAGCCTTGTTAACCCTGGGCAAAAAATGATCTCTTGGTCCAGAGTATGGGACACAAACATATTAGGACAATAATACAATACTGGGACAAATCAAGGACTGTTCCTAACACATGGCATCAGCGGAAAGCAGAGCCAGCTTTTCCTTGTTCACAAGACTTAGCATATCTTATCAGTGATTCAACACGAGATACAATCTGAAGATAAGAGGAATAAAATATTCTTGGAGTTACCCTTCCTCTTCCTTGGAAGTAAGTTGACAATAAAGAAACTGTTGTGAACTTGGCACAGGAGGAGGATGTGTCAGGAGGGCTGGCAGGGCACCAGCTTGTTGAAGCTGTTGAGAAGCAGGAATGTGATAGCTTTGCTGATGCTGGGAAATCATGGCAAAAAGGATCAAGTGCCATGTACAGGGGAACTCATGCACAGATTACATATACTTTTCTTCAGCAAAACTCTGTGCAGGGGGTCATCAGAATGGGACACCAGAATATGTCTGGCATGCTGAGCACATGGTAGACGCGTGCCTGTGACAGACACATCAGGTTGTTTGGCAGAGGAACACTCCTGGTGTCAGTGCTTATATTAGGGGAGGGCTTGCAATGCTGGAGCTGGCACTGTCTGGCAGTGGGACTGCCTGAGCATGGGGCTCTGTGGGGTCCATACTCATTCCTGAGACCACCACAGGCTCCTTCCTGAAAACATTTTCTCAAAACTGGTGCCTCTGGCATGTGGGGTTAACAGGAGAAACCATAGCAGCGCATTATAACCATGTGAACCACAGAACCATGAAGACATTCAAAGGCACTGAACCTCATGCTCAGTGCTTGAAATGTGACAGCTCTGCAAGGAATCTGAACAGGATGAAAAAGGTCACTCAGAAAGGCTCAGCTGTGATTTGATGTCATCGTTCTGGTATCAGTAATTCGATGATAAGTGTTTCAACTACAGATTTATTATTAAAAATGACAATCACAGAATCATTTAGGTTGGAGGGGATGACTTGAGATCATCTAGTGCAACCACTGTCAGCTAGAACAAGTTGCCCAGGACCCAGCTGGGTTTTGAGTATGTCCACAGACGGAGACTCTGTAACCTCTCTGGGTAACCTGTTCCAGTGTTTGAAATTACTTTGTCAAAATGGCTCTGGTCACCTGATCAGCATATTTATACTATTTCTGTGGGGGGAAAAAAAAAAAGTAGAAAAAAAAAAAGGTATCTTCCAGCTGTTCACCCTTGTAAATTTAACCTGCTCCATGCCTTAAGTGCTGCACCCATAATAATGGTCTGTAGAGCTCAGTGGATTTGGAGTAATATGGAGTTATGGAATTTAAATGTCATGGAACTGTTTTAAAGCAAGAAGAATATAATTGTATCTTAGATGTAAGCGACCAGCTGTAACTATGAAAATACAAAATAAAACAACACTAAAAGTTTTATTCTTTCCTGTAAAGCAAGCAGCTAGGAGACTGAATGCAAAGCAGTTTTTCTGAGCAGGTTTAAGACAGTGTCACTGTTAGACAGACAGTCACTCACCCCTAGTCATTTTGTATTAGAGTGGTTTACCTTTGGGGTCCACCGATGTCATGCATAAGCCAAATCTGTATTTCAGAGACTTTATCTGGATTTAAGTTAAAGACCTCAATACTTCCAAAAATGCTGTAAGAATGGGACATGAAACATTCTTAGTTAGCTAAGTAAGAAGTTCAGAGTATGTTCCCCAACTACCACCACTTAGTGCTGCTGTCATCCCCAGTGAAAGAATGTTGTATTTTTACTGGATTTTCATAAACTATTTAATTACTTTGTTTTCCCCATTTTCTCCCCATTTTTATTTCTTTCACGAGATCTTCTGAAACTGTCTGTAGACAGAAACAAGCTAAAGTTTTTTCGTCTTCAGTGTCTTTTCTCCTGTTAGTTTTATTGGCTACAGGTTTGGTTTGGTGCAAGGAAAATCAATGTGGCTGTTGTCCTGACCAGCATAGCCTTCATCTTTCTATATTATTCAAGACTACCCTTCCTTCAGCTAACACGAGGAAGCAGTATGGAGAGGAAAAACCCAGTCAGATCATAAGCAGCTAGAAGTGTGTCACTTCTATGAGTGTACAAACCCAGATTAAGTGTAATAAAGCTTCTTTGTGCAATAAGATCATACTGGAGATCTGACCCATATACCCTCAGAAGGATTTTGGTTAGAGACATTGTATAGAAGGAGTTAAGTGAATAAGCTCTACAACCAATGGCTTAGATCCCTATATAAATTCACCAAAATCCCACCTGCACTAGGACTTACTAACAAAGATCTGCTGACCAGCACGCACGCCCAAGAGAAATGTGGATGCCGAGTAACTACCTGCTGCTTCTGAAAGCTCCGGCTTCTATCGATCCATTAAGCATCACCTGAACCACACCACATGCTGCTTCTGCAAACTAAACAGAACAAATGGATATTACAATCTGGCATTGCAGGCAGTGCCACATCAAAATTCTTAGCTAGTAGAGAGTAGTGTAACTTCTTCAATGTCATCAGAATGAACTGACACGAGTAGAGGATCTGGCCAAGGTTCTTACAGATGTCCATGCAAACACAAGCCTCTAAACACTACGGCAATACTGCCATAAAGCTGCATTAACCAGGCATAAATTGGCAATCCGAGCTTGCATGGGACGGTATAACAACTTTGCTGCCACGATTTTCAGTTTTTAAGGAGGGATGCAGCTTTCCAGACCACCGGCAGCTGCAGCTGTCTGACGGGGCTGCTTGTTCCCTCAGCAATGTGCAGAAAGCCTCAGGCTGCCTTAACTCAAGCATTGAGGACGAGCCAGAACAGAGCAACCACAAGTTTAAGGACATGCAAAGCATGAAGTACTTGTTGCTTTGTGACTCACGCTCTGTGTGCTTTTGCGGCTTGGGATTTTTCCCTACAGTGGTTTTAGTAAAGCTCATCACCAAGTTTTGTTTGATTTTTAAATTACTGGATCATCTAATCACTGTTCTTTCATTCTTTAAAACTTGTGTCCAAATATTTTAAGACTATTAGGTTACAACATAAAGAACCCACAGTACTCCAGATACATAATCCATTGGTGGAATAAATTAATTTTTAAAAGCTTAATATAGAATGACTGTTCTTATCAAATCCTCCAATTCTTCTTACTTATAAACAATGTGGCTCAAGCCCAGCTCTCAAGAGTTACAGAAAAGTTTAATTATGTGTACCTTTCCAATGTAATAAGTATGAGTTTCAGTAGATCTTAAATTTATTTAGAGTAGAAAGCTTGTAGTTGAGCAAGCCTGACTCTGTATGGTGGTTTTTCCCTCCCAGACTCTGGAACTGTACATCAAAACTGTTTTGAGCTCGGAAAATTTAAGTACACTAGTTTACCTAGAAAACAATATTTTACAGTGAGTAGACTTTTTCTTATGTACATGAGAGCTGAAGAATACATTGAGCTTGTTCTGCACCTGGAAAGTCAGCTATTAATAGTCATATCAAGGCTAAAATCTTCAGAGACATGTAAAATTAAACTGATCCAGGAGAATATTCTTTTTTCTGGCAGGTGTGAAATGAGCACTCTGTAAAGTGCTGATTCAACAAATCCAGGCAAACTGCTTAACTCAGACTAGCAAGGTCTCATGCATGTGACTGGAGCTGGCACGTGCATATGGATGGGCACAGTACAGGAACCTTGGACGGTAACACTGTGGGAAGATGTCCTCTTCAGGCTTATGCTGGGAAAGTGCAAGGGGACTCTTGGTCACTTGGCAAACTCCTGTGCCAATCTGGGAGCTGCTCTCAACACTACCAAGCTCTAAGATATTGTATTTTAGCAGTTTGGGCCCTGTGATTTAATTGAGAGGGTTAGCATTATTACCATAAGTCTTATTTGTAAAGCTCCAGCTGTCTGCCACGCATTGTTCCAGACACTGGCATACAGCCTCTGTCCACAATAAGAATGCCCAAGCTCTGATGACAACTCCGGTCCAACTTATATAAAATATGGGACTTTGGAAATACAGATTTCCAAACCTACACTTTCTGGCACCTAATGCTAAATTCCCTTTGAACTTTTAGTATTCCACTTTTTAAGTCCAATCTGCAAACTCAGATTTTTCACAGTGCCAGCAAGTTAGTGCCTTTCAACATCCTCAGGCTAGGGGAGGTTTATTCTAGATCTTACCCTCTTGGAAGCTGTTTTCCAGAATACAGAGCCAGGGTTGCTCTCACATTCACTCCGTTTTGGACAAGATTCGTAGTTGATTCCTGAGAAAAAGTACAATTATTTATAGAATAGCTAAGACTAGAGTGAGTATTGTTATGACATTAATACAGCTTTGAAAGATTTACCCCCAGTCAAAGCAAGATGGCTACATGAGGAAATGGCTCTAGAAGGAAAGAAAATTTGCATGTGTTCGAAGGTCTTCCTCTTTACTCACACATGTCTCAGTGAGACAGCTGGAGGCCCGGTATGCAAATAATTCTGAGAAATCTGAGCAAGGAAAACAATTTCTACACATGACAAACAGGTCGGCTCTTGGCAAATACTTTCTGATCGTGTTGAAAAATTAAAATTTGCCCAACTTTTCCTGTAACTCCAGCTCAGCTTAGAAATTGCTAGCCTTAAGCACTGAACCAGGAATCGTGTGGGCAGCAGAAACCCAGGGTCCCTCCACACTGCCCCATCACTGTGACTGGCCTATGGCCGGGACGCTTTTGAATGGGATTCTTATTTTGCAGTTTGTCCTACTGAATTTTAAAATAAAATAAAAAATAAATAAATAAAAAGCTTTTAAAATAAATTATAAGAAAAGACAATGTGAAAAGGGACTGTGTCTAAGTCTATATATACAAGAGAAAAGAATAATCTAGAATTCTAGTACTCATATTAGGTTTGCAAAAAATAGGACTTGTTACCTGGGACCGAAGGGTCTCCACACCACGAAACACCATCAAACATATAACCCAGCAAGGTGTCCTCCAAGGTTAGGAAACCGTGGCTGGATTTTGTGTAACGATGAGCGAGGTCGTTTGTCTTGCTCCAAAACAGTGACTGTGAAATAAGGTACAATAAGCAATAAGTGATACTTATACTAGAGCTGGTCAGGACATTTTCCTGGAGAAAAACAAGAAGTTTTCATGTTAGTGACGGAGTTTTAGTTTTTTACTGAAATGCTGCAAGTTCCCATTAGCGGGTCAGTTCTTCTTTCTGCAGTCCTTGCTCCCATTTCCAAAATTTTTGGGGTAGTTATTTTTCATGGAAATGGATGTGCTCAACCTTGAAAATATTTTGAAAGAAAAGTTCTGAGTAGTTCACATAGCATATACATGCAATTTGTTGTGTGCTTCTGAACTATAGATGGAAGAGCAGATTTTTGGAAGCAGCGTCCCTCTACCAGCAGGGTTGTGTGCTCCTTACAGAGATCTGCATGCCCAGGGAGGAGGGATTAAGCTCTGTAGCCTAACCAGGATGACTCTGGCAAAAATATCAGTCTTGTCAACCTACAAACACCCCCAGTTACTACAGAAAAGATCCATTGCTCAGAACACTGGGCAGCTATGTTGTTTCACAGCAATCCCCCTTGTGTAGCCCGCCCAGAGCCATGTCCCTACCTTGTTGCAGGGTATGGGATGACTTGCCAACTCCATTAAAGGCTGATAATCTTCTGCGGTAGTGTTACAGGGATTCTTGTAAATGAACGCATATTTTAACGATTCCCATATTTTTAGGCAATCCGTATCTCTGCTGAAATATAAAAACATAGTTAATTAGTATTTATGAGTATTTATGATCGTAAAAGGATCTCCTGTTGCATTTAAACACTATGAATAGATTTTAAAAGAGTTCTGATCATGCTCAGGCATCACCACATATATTATGCATTAAAAAGTAGAGTATCTTCAGTGAATTGAGCATAAACCAAGGAATGAGCAGTTGTAAAACATCTCTCCCCTGCATTTTGTATTACTGATTATTGCAATACCTGAATGCCTTCTGTGTTTTTGTCCCTTAAGAGAGTGGTGCTAATAACTAGGATATCAAATTTCTTGATTATTCATACTAAATCATGAGATGAATGTGGCAGAATATAGCAAAATGTGCCTATGAGCTTCCTTGCTGAGTATTTGACCCTACCGAAACAGTATCTAAAGTTTTATCTAAAACGTAAGAAGAGGTCTGGGTATTTTGGACCTGGTATTTTCAGTTATGGGGAGCTTGCACCTATGGACTCTAATGGAGCCACAGGTGATTTGAACCCATATAGGTGAGATCTGAATCAGGTGCTCGATCCTCCAGTGGATTTTTTTCAGTCTCTTTGTGATGTTCCACCGTGTTACCAGCTCTGCTCTTTCTGTTCTCCCTGGTGTGAACCAGGAATCCCCCTGAATTTACATGGGAAGAACCAGTGCAAGCCAGGACACAACCACCGCACCTCGGTCTACATTCACTTCTTAGCATGTTGCTTCACCAGCCCTGGAAATAAAGCACGTCTCTGCTGATGGAAACAGAACTCCTTTTTGTAACACCGAGAGGAAATTGGTTGTACACTGCTGACAAGAAGTCCCCTCTCTGCACCGAAGCAGCTCCACGCTCCCTTGAAGCTGTAGCATCTAAGGCGTGGGACTGCTCAGGACGTCTGCTTTCTTGTGCTTGTAGGAACGAATGAAAACTTTAGTTTAAGATTTTTAGGTAATTCCTAACTATTGTCTGCCTACTATGTGTTTTCCAGGCTGAGCCCACGGGTACAGGTCGTGCTGCTGCAAATTCAGGCCCATTTTGAAAGCCAGCCCCTGGGAGTGACAGCCACCCAGCCATTCTGCAGCTCTCTTCCCTGTTCTTTATCTAAATTCCAGAAGTTGACTGCATCATCCCACTGTCAGCATGTTTGAACGGAGCTGTTCTGGCTACCTGAGACTCATTCTCTCTTTCTTCACTATTTGTAACCAGCTCCCAGGGTGTTCCCACTGAAAGCTGTCTGAACAGTGGCCTTTGTCTGTTGTGCAGACACAGATGTCTTGTAGAAGTAGCAGGGATCAGTTAGTCGGTGACACACAGCTGCAGGCTTCATTTCCTGCTGGCATTCGGGTAACAGGCAGGATGTGGAATTTGATTAGTCTTATAGATAGTCCTGAAGGGATTAAAAGGATAGTTTGGTGGCGGTTCATTGAGGATTTCAGAGTATTTTACAAGTGAATCGTCACTACAGTTGTGTGAACTCATTCCCACTGCTTAACTTGATCCCGATTGCCATTGAGTGCCTGTTTGAGCATCGGAGGGGTGAAGGAAAGCAGGCAGCTGAGCCTAGCCTGTGGGACCCAGAACCCCTTCTCAGCTCCCAGCCCTTTCCTTGCTGTGCTGGGATGTGTCTGCATGTCAATGCTCTTCCTCCCTAAACCTTATGGAGAAGAAACATCACACACACAGAAGGTCAGAGGCTTTTTGGATGTGTCCAGAAGAGCTACAGCACCACCTCGCAGTGGCAATGCCTCTCCTAGATGTGCAGCGGGGGCCTGGGCCAGTATCACACCAGCAAGGACCACAAAAGACCCACAGGGATCCACAGCAAGGCATGAAATCTAACAGATAAAGCAGTGCTACGAGCCACAGCTGGTCACCTGTCCATTTATTCTTTCATACAGCAAAGTTTTGCAAGCTGGGTTTCAGTAGACAAAATATTTCTCAAGGAACCACAAGAAACCCTGGGTTTGATCCCAAAGGCAAAGAGGCAAATGACAGATACATTACAGAGCGGTTCTGCTCCTGGCTCTAGCGATGACGACGAGAAGCACGAAGCAATAACCATGGAGGTGATGCTCGATCCAGCCCAGACAGCTTGCTGACCCCTGAGCCCGAAGCACGGCTTTCCCAGCACTGCAGCGCCCCGAGCTCAGCACTCGGTGCCGTGCGTGGCTGCCCCGATGGCTGGGAGAAGGGCGCAACAACAAACCTGGCAGAGCTGAGCAAAGCTATGTGTAACGGCACAGCGGTGGCAGGGCTCAGCCTTCACATGAGGGAAGCTCTTCTGCAGCTGGTAGTGAACAATAAGGCATGAAAGGGACTTTATATAAACTCAACCAGTTCAGCTTTGCTTTGCAAGTCACACCATGCAACTCCCAATTAAAAAAAAAAAAAAAAAAAACAAGAAAAAAAAACCACACAAAACCTAAAGAGTATTTTGTTTTCACTACCCTTGCACATCACTGTACGTATTTTACATCTGAATAAAAATAAGTGATTGGTTTGCTTTTGGAAGGCCATTTCTCATACAAAATACACAGAACCTGTACGTAAACATGTATACCAAATACAGGTTTTACCTCGCGTCTCAAGAGTTTTGACTACACAGAGTTTTGGCTTTGTCTGATACACAACAGGCACTGAGAGAGCTTTATGATTTGTTAATCCCAGCTCCAGGAAGAGATGGAATTCCTTCCAGCCTCACTGCTGATAGAGATGAGAGAAATAAAAGAAAGAAAGGCTTTCATCCCTGGAAGTCTTTAAAAGACGTTTAGATGTAGAGCTTAGGGATATGGTTTAGTGGGGACTGTTAGTGTTAAGTCAGAGGTTGGACTCGATGATCTTGAGGTCTCTTCCAACCTAGAAATTCTGTGATTCTGTGATTCTGTGAAAATATGTGCCTGGAGTATGGTACTTAACTCCACTTAACTGAGAAAAGAGGCGGGCAAGTGTTCAGGCTTGACACAGCAAAAGATGTTGAGATGCTCCTGTGATGCCTGGTGTCGTGGGGAACTGGCACGTAACGAGCTAAAAGCTACTGAACTTGCACTTTCAGGTGGAGCAGAAAAAGGAAAACCTCAGAAAGCGATGGCTGTGATAGGATGTGATAGGGCTGCTTAGGAATTTTCTAAGCATTTTCTTTATCAGGAAAGTCCTGATCCAGCACATCTAAGACTATCATGTCAGTGATACCCTCACTGGGAAGCTCTCTCAATGGATTCATTTCCTTTTCTGTCTGCTAAAGAAGAAAGGAAGGGTGAGCGCAAGTACCAGGAGCCTGTGGGGAACGTGCTCATGTACCACCCTGCTGCAGGACTCACGTGCTTTTTCTGTTTTGGGAGGTTTCTTGTGTGTTTTGGATTGCATTTTTATTAATTCTGCGTCAAGCAAATATCCTATCTTTATGTATTTATGTTTGTGTAATGAATTTCTTCCCTCAAGGCCAACTTTGTTTATACTGATTTTTTTAAGGCCTTTATTCTGTTACAGAATCCGAAAAATTTAAGCCGAGTTCAGTAACAGATAAAATAAATATACAATAATTGTATGTGTATTTTTCCCCAAATTTTTAAAATGAATATAGCTTGGGAAATGCTGGTAAATGTGAAATAATAATAATTAACAGGAAACACCATGAAAGCTGCTGTGAGCTCAGGAACTGCCCCTGTAGCCCTTTCTCTGGAAAGCAGGGACTGCAGAACTGGGCCTTGGGAGCTTTTGCAGGTGAGGGTCTGCATCCTGTACTGAGTACAGCAAGAAATTAGAGCTGAGGTACCAATGCACAACACCATTATAGCTCCATTTCCTTTTAAAATCCTAATGTTATGTATATGGCAAAGCATATCCTGCATTTTCTTTGTATTTGGGTAGAAGTTGCATTTTCTTCCAGTGAATTTGAGTATTTCTATCCATTTACTTTTTTTATGAACACCATATTAATTTATCAAAAGGAAGCTGGGGCCAAGAATATTTCCATTAGCAGCTGTCCCAGCAGCCAAACTTTAATGCGTGTATTATAAAACTGGACAGCTTCTGCATCACTGTCTCCTGCATGTAAGTACATCGGCCTGGCTAACCTTGAGAGAGCACTCTTGCACTTAAAGGAATAGGATGGCATCGAGAAATCTCAATTAATATAGAACTTTTATTTTCTTTACTGTGCAATTGTATTTTACATTGTTTTTTAACTGGACATGACAGAGCAAATTCATCTGCAATTGAAATTGATTTAATTGGTGTAATAACAAGGGTGAGTTTCATCCCTGGTGACTTTAGTTACAGCACGAACAACATCTCGTTTTCAGTTCAGCACTGGATGCTAAAAACATCCCATGAAGGGCAGTGTTTCCTTGAGCTGTGGTGCCCCCAGTTTTTCTCTCAAAAATTTGAGAGAGGTGCTTAAAGTGCAAGACCCATACTAAACCCCATAGGTGTTGCTTATTAAACCCCGTGTGGCCTTGTATGTGCCCTCACCCCAGAGCCCTCCTCATTTGCTACCACTGCCAGCTGAAATAACAATGTGGGTATGCACCTGAGTGCTTAGAAACTTGGCTCTTTAACAAGTCAGTGAGAAGTTGTGGTTGTAACAAAGCTCCTGAACTCCATCAGAACGGTCCACACCGTGCTCCAAGTGTAAGGTATCATCTTCACCTGTGAAAGACTGAAACCCAGGTGTTTCAGAAGGAGACTGCACACCTATGGAACTAAATGCAGTATTTCTGCATCAGACTTTGCCTACTTATCTGTTTCCCTGCCTCTTTTAGGTGACTCACAGCAGCTGGAGACGGTATGCAATTTATATGTTTATATTCAGTTTATTTTATCATGTGAGCTTATGAGTAGCTATGCCTACGTGGTCAGAAATCATGCAAAATATGCCTTTGTCAAGTATGTCAGGCCTGTGTTAACTCCAAATCCTTTTGCTTCTTTTTTTTTTTTTTTTTTTTTTTTTTTTCCTAAATATTTTAGGGCTGCCCCTTCCCTTCTTGCAGCCTCACCGTGTCCCACTTTTTTGGAGTCGCTGCAAATCCCAGCCCAGGGATTGGACTCTCCTGCACACAGCCTGCTGCAGACAAGCTCAGGCAGGGTGCACACTGCCATCCAGCGGGAGAACTCGGTGGGCTCTCTGGAGCATCTCCATCCAACTGGGCACATCTGCAGATGCCAGAAAACAGGTACGTGCATACATCGGATCAGATTCCTTACTCCTGTTCGAGCATCTACAGTCTCCCAGCAGGTATCTTGGTGCTAAAAATTAGGCAAATTGGAATTGTGAGAGGTCAGCCCGTGTGCTGTCAGAGCTGGGGATGTGAGGAGGCTACCACCTGCTGCTTTTAGCACTGGGATAACACCAAAGGGGAAAAATTACCACGGGAAAGAATGAAGGAAAAAATCATGGCAGAGCTACCAACCTCAAAGCTTTCAATGACCACTAGCATCCCACTGCCCACTCAGCTTAATTATAATTGTCTGTCACCAAAATGCTGACAGTTATTGCTGTTTTTTAATATGAGAATGACATAAGGTGTTTTTTGTTTGTTTGTTTGTTTGCTTTTTTGGCAGCTTGATCTTGTAAGTATTGCTCTCTGTTAATTAAACAGCCCAAAAGATGGTAAAGAAAGCAATGCAGAAACTGCCTGGAGATAGAGACAGGCATCCAAAACCTTGCCTTAGAAAGATGACACCTGGAAAGGCTGCCTTGAGGCAGAGCAACTGTCCCCACAGCAGAGGTGGGGAGCTGAGAGGTCTGGAAGAAGAAGTGCAAGCTGAGATCTCTCCTGGGCGTACCTCAGGGCTGGGTACGTTCATGGACACGGACTGGGAACAAACGAGGGCTCCTTGTCATCCCAGCCCTTCCTTCTGGCAGGAAAGTGAAGGCTTCAAGGGCAGCTGAACGTGTGGCTTTGGTTTGTAACTCCTGCATTGTTTTTGCTCCTGGACAACACAGCGCCTTGCAACCCTTCCTGAAAGTGCTGGGTCAAGAGGTGGCAGCTATAACCAATGAAAAGTTCATCTACACATATATTTTTTTACCAGTCAGATTTCAGCCTTCCCAGGTGAAAAAACAGACTGTTTAAGCAGGTGGTGTTTTCAGCGATGCTTAATAGGCTGGATGCAGTCTCTAGAAAAACTGAAGTCTTACCTGGCCTGCATTTTGTCAGAGGGCTGCAGTTACTCTACAGTTTAAGTTTCCAAGTGAGAGCCATGCCATCAACAGATACAGAACCAACAAATTTAAGCTGGGAGCTTACCTCTTGATTAGAAAGCATATTTTCAGTATTGCTTTAATATTAATCTTGGAAAAACACTTCTTTTTGGATCTAAATAAAAGTAAGTGACAGCAGGGAAACAATCAATGGTTTAACGCAGCTGCAGAACTATTTCCTGTGACGTGTATTTGCAGTACATTGGGGTTTTTATAGCCCTAAAACTGCTGGGATGTGGCATAAATGCAGTAAATCAGGAGACTTCCCTGCCTTAGGGGTGGCACGCGTCAGCAGGACAAGGACAAGGGCACAAACCAGACTTATTATAACACTGAGTAAGCTCCTTGGTAATACCTTACTTCGCTGTCATCTCCCGGGAAGACAGACTGCATAGCCCGCATCTCTTTTTACTCTTGAGGAAGCTCTCCACTTGACCCCAGAAAGGAAAAGGATGTAATCCTCTTATCTCAACATATATAAACAAACGGGTGTTTCCCCACAGTGCTCTGAGATGTCCAACAGCTCTGCACCACACCTTGGCAGTGACAGCTGAACTGTGCCATCAGGAAGCCACCCCCAGGCTTGGCTCTTCCCACTGGCAACTCTAAGGTGTACAGATCCCAAGCACAGTGCTGGGAGGGAACAAGGTTTCCCTTTCATCAACAGCGAGGTCTTAGATGCTAACCTCAGATCTCAACAGCACTGCTGTACAAGTACGTTGATGATGGCCCTGGAGAAAAGACACTGAAAGACGACAAGAAAACCCAAATGGAGCCCTAATTTATAGCCCTGAATAGTCACCCTGAATAGAAACTTGCCTTAAGCAGCGGAAGGACACACTTAAAGTGCTAACAAACACCTTTTTGTGCCTGCTACATGACAGATCCCAGTTCCCCAGGAAAGCTCAGCAGGCCGTGTTTCAGTGCAAGCACACCTCTGACCAAGATTTGAGCAGTTGCTAACCTTTGTAATGATTTCATCTCAGTTCCCCAGAAAGGGTCAAAGTCATTCCAGTACAAGTTTGGGAAAAGCAAGTGTAGCAGATCTTGTTATAAATACTGAGGGCTGGAAGAAATGAAACGGAAGAAATGAAAAACCAAACTACAACAACAGCTAACAGAGAGCAGGTATTAAAGGCAACACATTTGCATACGAAACAGGAAGGGAAATACTAAAAGCATATGCCAAAGCACTGTAAGAAATCTTCCTTCTTATCCATTTTCATGTTGGCCACCTTAACACTGAAGGACAAAACAGAAGTACCAACAGATACCAACACCACGGCTGCTACAGAGGAGCCAAGCTGTTTCTTTTCCTATTTACCTCGCTGACCTCTTGAAAGCCTAAAAGCGTTATCAAAGGAATCGAAGAATAGGAGGGCACCCCTTAACATAAGGCATGTTTTCTTAACAAAAAAAAAGAAAAATCTCAGGTGAGTTTGAATGTAATGTCATGGCTACATCAAATAAAGCTCAGAGTATTTGTGACATTGAGCCAAATCATAGCTGTTGTGAAGTGCCGTGCTCGACATAGAAGTGTTAAAAGTCAGCAAACAAACGCAAGGAAATTAAATTAAAAATGCTGAGCAAGACGTGAAGGCATAACACAAAAGTAAGCATACAAAAAAAAAAACCTGCTCTTGAGAAGAAAGGATGGTGCCAGTGCGATAGTATCTCACACAAAATCATGGTGCCATGTGTTTTTTTTGGCAAAATATATCAGCATCTCCACAGCCTGCAAAGGAATGGAAAGGAACAATGCATCCATGCTCATGCAGTCAGAAGGCAAAGCTCTCCTGAGCGTGCGCCAGCTTCTACTAAATTTAATGGAACTACAGACTGTGAAAATTTGTTATAAGGGGGATTTGTGGCCAAGTTTAGGAACATTATTTTTCCAATTGTATGTGAGGGGGATGCCTATGCTGTATGTCCACACAACATTTAATGAAACTTTCCATTTGCATCTCCATCACAGGGCTTTGCATCTCAGGCGTGCAGAGATGGCTGGGTCTGCACAGCCACATACGCTACCTACATGGCTCCTGGTCCACGTCCCTGCTGCTCTCTCACTGGCAGAGGTCAGACAAGAAATGAGCTGGCTTGTCTCTAGCCATTTTGTAGTAGTAGGTGCTTGCAGGCTTGGCTTGGTTGAATCAGCGATGGGTAAGTGATGGCAGATCTGGAGGTGAGGTAGCGCTATCTGGGAATGACAGATTTCCTGAACTGCAGATGTAAGGTGAGTTTACTTACAGACTGAAAAAGAAGCATTGCTTGTGTCTCCCAGATCATGACCCCCTTACAGATAATGTTTCTTACCCCTTCCTTCACAAGGTCACAAAGTGCTAATTGCATCTGAGCTCAGCCTGCCAATTCAAAGGGGCAAATCAAACCGGTGGGCTTCACGGCAAAAGGTTTTACGCTACCCCTGTAATTACCTGTTCTCCCCCAGCAAGCAAAAAGGTGCAAAGCTCCTCAAGAACATCTGCTGAGCTCAGGGTGATGCTGCTCTGCCCAGCTGTGAGAGCCAGGCTGCAGAGCACGGTGCCACAACGCAGGATCTGCACCAGCTGCTAGAAAACCATTCTGATTTCACCAGAGCTGCATCCCTGGCAATTTAAATGTGTATTCTGTGAAAACTGGATGCGTGTAGGTAGCCAGAAGAGGGAGCCTGTCTTCCTGGGAAAGAGGACACGAAGCAACTTGAGGTCAAATCCCTTCCTCAGCCAGAACTGCCTTTGGCTGTTGCTCAGACGAAACTACAATGCATACCAGCGGCCGTGGCGGACAAGCATGGGAATTCTGCAAGAGTTGTGGAAACAGAGTTTGCATCTGTTGTTAATGCCGAAAAAAACAGGACTACCAAGCTGTGACAGACTATTGCTTTAGCTGTGCCTTTTGGCAGCAGCCAGTATTTTCAGGGAAGCTGAAGAGAAATACTGGTCTTTAATGAAAACACCTAAATGCGCAGCTCTGTGTGCAGGGAGTGAAACCCCTAAAAGCTGCCCATGTACCCCCAGCACTGTTTCCTAAAATTGGACTACACACACGACGAGGAGCATTTGGTATTCCCTGTCTGTTTCTCCCAAACTTTGGCACAACAGCAGTGGTACTCTGGAAGAACAGCTGAGGAAACTGTAAACAAATGACTCTTGAGCACGACGTACACACTGCTAGGTGAGCATCATCACAACAGCAGCAGCAGAAATACCGAGGATTTTATCACACACAGGCAGTTACACAGCCTTATCACCGAGAGGTGCTGTATGAAGCACTTAGGAGTGGCTCTTTAGCAAGCAACTGCAATAAATACAGTCCCTGAATGTTTTTATGGTTCTGGAGAATATAAAAATCAATTGGATAATATCTGATTGCACAGGAGGTGCTTATAAACCCACACCACAGACAGCAACAGTCCTTCCAGGAACCTCACTGCCGGTGGCTCCAGGCCCTGTTTCTAATTAGAAAAGACAAGAGCATGAAAGGAGCCAGCTGTCTGTGCCGTGTCCAGAACTCCACCAACGTGAGGGGGTGTGCAAAAGACACCTGGAGGATTAAAGCAACCCCAATGGTGCAGGTGTCATTCCTTGGTGGCATGTCCATGGCCCTGCCACAAGATTTATAGTACAAGGTTGCAAAAGCAGAGCTAAGTGGTGACTATAGACTCACGGCCCCCATCTGTGATGCCTGTAAGTTAGAAATCCCATATTAATGTCAACAATCCCCTTCTTTTCCCAAAACCAGACAGCTCTTCCAGTTTCAAAATACAGCATTCCAGAAGACAGCAATAGCCACACTTGCTAACTACTCCAATGAACAGACTGCTACTTTCAAAAAACTGAGAACGCTGTCAAAGACGTAACGTAGATGTCAATGGCTCCAGTATAAAAAAGTTACAGCATGAAAACATGTACACGGGTTTACTAAAAGCAGAGCTTTTTAAAGAAATGTGCATGTTGGTGTTAGATTAAAAGGGCACGAACAGACTATGGACAGATTTATGAAGAAAACAGATTTCTAACCATGGCAGTGAGGTTCCCATAGCAGAAGTAGCCTAAGGCTACAAAACGCCTCGCTGAGTATAGGACACAGCTTGAGCAGCTTACAAGTGTGCCTGAGCTTCTTCAGTTCCATGTTCCTACTCCTTTTCTTTGATTAAGTGCACCAAAGATTCCATGCAAGGAAAGATCCAAGGCCTACATTAGTGATGAAAGAGCATGGGATGAAAGACAGAGGGTTCTCTGATGTGTCCTAAAGGCACTGGCTTTGTTATCAGGAAGTGCCAGTGATAAAAGCAGTTACAGTACAACATACACCGACCTCAGTAGGATCAGAAATGGGGAATCTGAGGTTAGGTACCCAGAAAAGGCAGCACCTAGGTTTTACTTCTCTGTGCAGGAATCTCCTGAACATTTTGGGTGCATGTAAATGAACATATTTTTTTTTCCATTTTCAGTGCTCTCTCAGATTTTACTTTGTTTATTTAATAAAGTGAAAGAAAAAAATCCTACTCTAGAGATGCCACTGAAATTATTTAGCATTGCTGGATTAAGCACAGCACAAAATCTTATACCTTGAAAAAACAACCTTTTAGAAAGCTTATAATCGTGTGTTTGCAATTATTTCAAAAGCATTCTTGAAAAAAAATTAAGCTTATGATTCCCTTATGGTTCAGATTCAGATGGTTTTGTGAAGGAAAACACAATAATTTCACATTTAGATATTGAGTCTACCCTTTAATAAGCTGATATGAACTTCTAGAAACCTGTATGTGATTTTGCAAAGGCTTCGGGAGCTTTTTTAATTTTATTTTAAAAGAGAAGCTGCCTCACTTACACTGCAGCCACTCAGGTGTTTAACATAAAGTGGGTGCTTAAATCTCTGCGTGCTCAGGCCATGATTTTCCATCTGCCTGTTGCCCTCCAAATGCTGAAAATCAGCTTTTTTGTGCAGCGCTGAACAGAGGAACTGAAGAGGAGACCAAATCCAAGCAAGTTACGTCCAGCTTTGTTTCCACCAGCTCAGTGTCACAAACTTGAGAGGTGACGTTGTCTTTTCGGAGCCCAAGAGCAGGATGGCTCTGTCACTGGGCTTACAGTGGTGGAAACATCTACCAGAGACTTATTGAGGACCCTAACAGGGTGTCTAGTGCAACAAGAAATGATGAGAGACCCTGTCTGCTCTGGAACCTGTCCCAAGGTGCTCGGCATCCCCAGTACCTGCGGGGAACCCAGGGCTCTCCTTACTTCATGCTCTGCCTTTTCCTGCAGAGCTGGAAAGCAGAACATCAGCTCTCAGCCCTAAATGCTGGCTGGGACCAAGGAATCCTCCTCCCCGAGCAGCTCAGGGCGTGAGGGCACCTGGGGCTGCCCACGTTGGCCATCACACTCCCGGCACTTCTCCTGAAGCTGTGCTGGAGGCTTTGCCCCGTGCTAAAAGCATCTGTTTCAAATAACCCTAATACATTTCCCAACACTCTTCTAACACCTCTGTCCATCCCAGAAGTGTGTCACAATCCTTCTCCTCCTTCCTGGGTAGCGGTGGCTGTGCGAACGCAGCGTTACACACCGCAGGACGTTGGGCAGGTCGGATGTACGGCGAATTAATTGCCTTCCCTTCCATACTCCGACCTGTTACAACCCAGCTTCTGTTTCAGCTGCCTTTAATGGTGCTCCCATCCGTGTCCGTGGGCGCCTCTGGACCCGGGATAATTACAAATATTCTCCCTTCTTTAGCTCCCCACCGCCCCATGCCCATCGGGTTTGGCTCCACGCCACCACCACTCACCCCAGCGCCGGGTGCCGCTCGGCCAGGTAGCTGTAGCACCTCCCCAGCACGATCTCCCGCAGGTTCCTGGTGGTGCCCCTGTCCTGCCACCTCAGGGGCCGCCCGCCGGACGCCTCCCTCCCCGGCATGAAGACGGAGGCCAGCACGACGGCCAGGACGAGGGCGGCCAGCAGCAGGGCGATGCCCGCCAGCAGCACCCCGCGCTGCCGCCTCCGCGACCCCGGCATGGCGGCGGGAGGCAGGCCCTGAGGGGCAGCGGCTCGGAGGTCCCGAGGGACAGC